ACATCTATATTTACTAAGTCTGGTAAGGGTTGAGGGTACTGCTAGCATCCCACCTTGTTGCTGAGGGCGGTGATGACCAATGAGAGGTTGGACAGGGACTTGTTGATGCTCTGAGCCTCCTGTAGCTGCTTCCCCTGGGATCCAGACTTCTTCACCTGCTCACTACCAGCAAGGTCAACCAGGTTTAGCATACCTGGATAGGTTCAAAGAGATATACTGTATCAAATGTCTGGAGCAATTAAAGCATATGTAGAAAATAGATACACATTTTCTATTGTAGGTACTAAAATAAGCATTCTATACAAGAATATGTCTAATAAAACACTCTTTTTTTTATAAGAGTTTGGTGATCACCGATCACTGAGTAAAATATAAGTACAATGTTACAACATTTGGGTTGACATCTTTGAAAAGGTGATAGTCACCTGTTATGTCAATCCTTCCCCAAATGTGGTAAATCGTCATAAATTTAACACACTTAACACACTATGTATCATCAAAGTCAAGAACACAGATGCTAATTCCCCAATGCTTAGAGGAACAACAGGTATTCCCACCGGCACAAGACTCCGAGGTCAGGCTGTTCTGGCCCTTGATCCTGAGCTGAAAGACGCTGTGTGACCGAGATGACCTGTCATTACACTTGGTTGCTGCGACAGCACGGTGTTTGTTGGCCTTCTTCAGAAGGGGGTAGACCTGGGGGTTTGGAGAGACATTATTAAAAAACTGTTGCATGCCCAGTTCACATGTACATACTATCTACAAGATATTGATGAAGTTTAAAGACACATTACACAAATATACCTCTATTCTTTTGAAATCAAAACCAGTATTCTATCTTTACTTCCAACACAAATCATGACAGATTTAACCATCTCATCTCTACAAACTTGGTCTAACCAACACTATGACACATAAAAAATGAAATGACCCTTACCTCATCTTCGCTGTTGACATCAACGACCACCTGGTTAGTTACGTGGACGTCGTTGGTCTTGTTGTCCTTGCTCCCTCTGTTGTCCTTCATCTTGATGTCCATTTTCTTGTCAGACTTGCTGTCTAGCAGGTCACGGAGGCTCTCATTGTAAATCTCCAGGAAGCTGGCTGATATCTTGTACTGATGATAACATGAAATAACCCAAGTACAGAAATGTAAATGATAATAAAAATAATGACTATACATGTACAACCTACTCATCATGTATTTGTCAATGTCAAGGGAAAAAAAAACAAGTGCAATGTTTGGTCATATTTGTGCATTCACTCATTAATGATACATCGTAGAGCATGACTCCCAAATACAACAATTGTCCATCTCCACAGGAAACACATTACAAAGTTGGGGAAACTACTTGTGGGCTACTCACCTCCCAGCCCTTTCCCCTCAGCCTCTCAGCCGTCCTAAAGACTTGTTCTACTGCCCTTGGGATCATGCCTCGCTGCTCAGGGCCCTGCTCCAGGTTACCCTCCATAGTATGGGTCTTCCCACTGCCTGTCTGTCCATACGCAAAGATGCATACTTTGTACCCATCCAGGGCACTCTGTAGGCAGAGGATGGTATATTACATTCAAAAATTTAAATCATCTTTGTATTGTATACCACTGAGTTGTTTAGAAGAAAAAAAAGTAAGCTAGCATATAACTTGGAAAAACATGTTCACCACCAAAAAAAGAATTAAACGACTAGTCAACAATTACCACATTAACTTTTTACACACACAGCATTAGGTGTGCATGTTTCAATGTTTTATCTACCTCTAGAGTTACAATTTAGTGAATTTGTTATGTACGGCATACAGAACACCTGAAAAGCACAACACAACACAGCATAGAGAACCTGTAAGGTACAACACAAATGAAGTACAGTATTGCAATATCCAAACCTGTACTAGTTGGGAGATCTCCTCAAACACCTCTCCCTGGGAGCTGCTTGGAGCAAACACCCTGTCAAAGCTGAACTCGATCTTCTGGCTTTCTGTGCGTTTGAAACCACTCATGGTCTGAAGGACAAGGAAATAAAAAGTCAGTCTCAAAATAAAATGCAAAATGCAAGCTAGTTTCCTAGACAGGACTGAAAAGATGTTCAAGATTCTGCAAAGTGAAAAAAGGAAAATTGGAGGAGGAAACAGCACAGAAAAACAAAGTATGATCAGATTATTGTCATAGTCATCATACATAGGGCTAAAGTCATACAGCACATGCACACATGCTCATTTGCAGATGAAAGTGATTGACTTTAAAACAAAGGTTGTTAATTTGCACAGAGTCCACACTGCACCAGCCATGCATGCTTACCTCATTAGGATCCCCATCCATCGCCCTGTCCAGTTCCAAGATGTTACCGTCGTGCCAGTCAAAGTGTGGGATGTCATCAAGTCCATCATTGGCAGCATTACCATCGGGTGATAGCAGTGGCCGCAACCGTGCAAATACTCTGATATTGCCCTGTGAACAAAGATTTCATGAAATTTCATAATTAACATGCACATATACAAGCTGGTATGAAAAGTGCTACTGAGTCTCTTGTGCATTTTACAAATTTAGGCCACACCAATTTAATTTCTTGGTTAACGGATTTTTATAGGAAAATAATGGAGCGGGCAGGCGAAAAAAAATAAAAACAAGAATTCCGAGATCTCATACCTCCATGAAATATGGGCTTGATATGTAAATGTAAATTTCCTCTTTAATTATGCAAATTACCTCTGCATTAACATGATATATGCATCGTGATGTATGCTAACTTTTGATTAACTTACAAATGTCCCAATTATGACATTCCCATTATTCACCATTAAGAAATCATAGAATTTTTGCATAAATTATGCAAATTAGGTCATCATTTGCATAATTAGTATCTGTCTGCCATAGGTTACATACATTACATGTATGAAAGTAGTATAATGTAAAACACTGTAATCATACAATTTCCTAATTAATTATGCAAATAAAGTCCTCATTTGCATAATTTGCATTTAATCATGTACATCTCTCTCTCAGCTACCTACACACCAAAAATCATGAAAATACGTTGTTCCTATCTGGACTTATTGGCTTTTAAACATTTCGCCAGAAAGTGCCCTGCAGTTCCAGAACAAGCTGCTAGGGGGACCAAACTCACGCCACTTATTCCTGACAAGATAAGCTATCTATCACCAAAAAGTCAAGACCATAGCTTGTTCAGGACAAAAGATACAAAA